CACACTAATTCGCAGGAGTCGGACGCTCCTGCCGCCAGGTCGGGCCAACTCACAAAGCACAAGTTCACTTTATGGGTTAACTTGTATTAGGCTGAATACAAAGACTTATAAGTAAACAGTACCTAATGTTTATGGGCGTGTATTTATACCAACTTCCGGTAGACGAACATTCCGGCGTCTACAAGAACGCTGCAAAGTCACGGACACACGCATTTCATTGATACCTCATTCGAATAATAAGTGACATTTCACCTGCCCCCTTCAACTGCTGAAAGGTGGACTACAATACTTCCTACACTACGGAACGGGATACATCATTTTGTAACCGTGACGTCTTCCTTGTGCTAGTTTCCGGCATTATTAGTGAAGGTAAACATGCTCTGCCATCTATTGATACTTTACGGCAACCATCTGCAGTATCCCGCAAAATACACGTTGCCATGGAAATATCAGTACGGAAAAGGTTAAGACAAATGAAGTGGAACAAGTCGTTAGTGAGTACAAGTGTGTTCTGTTGAGTGTCAGGAAACACTGCCAGTGAATTCAATACGCAGAAAGGCAACTGCATCTTCGAGCACAGTTTCTCTGTGACTCTGGGGCCGTAACGAGCTGTTGCGGCAAAAGTAACGACGTGCCTGGACCGGCCCCGTGGCTCGCTCAGCAACCCCGTCCAATTGGCATTAAGCAGCCGCAGGGTGAAGTTCACCACGTATCATAACCTAGTGCCGAGGTCAGGATTGCGCAGAACTATACCTCCTCCCTGCAGCACGTCTTTCTGGCTCGGTGCTTATGCAGAGACGCTTATCTTCATAGGAATAAATGTTACACTATCTTATCTCATTCACATAAAAGGTTTATACCTTAAAGAGACATAGGCCCTGCATTCCATGCCATGTTCTGAAGGTCGCAAGGTCAGGGCCACTGAAAAATCCAATAACTTCGTCGGCAATCGAACCCGCGACCTTCCGGCTTGTAGAATACTGCACCGACCAACACCGCTACCGCGTGCTCACGGTATTTAGAGAAATCTGACAAAAATCAATTTGAGCCACGCGCAAAGCGAGAGTTACATGGGGCCGAAATGACACATTAAATATTCTGGCATAATTTTAGTTAAAGTTCGTGGATACCGAATTTCCTTACCACAAAACCCCTCCTCCAGACTTAATGATCTCAGCTTGCTATGTTCCATCCCGACTTAGCAAACGAGAATATGGCATCCGAGTAGTGACAGCATTTGTTTAAAAGTAAGTAAGTAAAGGTATCCCTGTAACAGGCCGTGGAGGCCCATAGGGTTGTGAGATGTTGAGGCTGCCACATTTTCTAGACAATCGGCTCACAGATGGCGGTGAGGATGTCAGCCTTACGCGCCGGCCACCCTTCATCCCCTGGAAGATTCGTGGTACTCATTTCTGTCGACCCCAGGCCATAGTGCCGCTGGAAGGATTAGGTAAATTGAAAAAATCCACCTCATCGAGATTTGATCTCGCGACCTTCCGGCTTGTAGCACAGTGCCTCAACCAACTAAGCTACCGCGTGCCCCGGCAGCATTTATCTATGATTCGTAAAATTAATAATAGAGAAACCTGCAAAGGCGGTTTCTGTGGACAGAATTTAGAAATCAAAATTTCGGATTTCTTATGTTTAGAGGAGTGATTATCTTCGGTTGGTGAGTGCTTGTTACTGCACAGCAGTTCTTGCGATAAAATCAGACGGATACGATCTCCTCCTCAAGTCATTAATTTCACAAACATCCAGCAAATTACGCGCGAACACTATGATAATCGGCCTAAAACGACTAGATCAGGGTCCGCTTATTACACGAAGCCCGGACATCTCAGTCAGTACAGTAGCTAGGCCACGGGTTAGTCGACCGAGGAATCGTGGTTCGAGTCCTAGTATAGGTCAGAGAACAATCTCTTCTCTACCCACAGAATTACTGGGCTTCTGGACTTTTTCCATCGTCCAGAAATTCTAGGTAATGGAAGACACGACGTTTCGCAAACTGGATCTGTTTCCGTCTTCAGGTGAGGAAGGAAGACATCTACTTAGTTGGTCCCCTTAGAAAGACCTAATCTCAATCTTCCTCACCTGAAGACGGAAACAGATCCATTTTCCGAAACGTAATGTCTTCTATCACCTAGAATTCCCGGACGATGGCAAAAGTCCAAGAACACATTAATTCTGTGTGTCACCCACAATCGTCAGAACCCTTTAGAATCCACTCTTCTCTAGGGCCTCCTGTCCTGTGGGTACCCGAGACTTCTAAGAATTAAAGCGGCCGAAGCTTGAAACTGACAGTTCACTTTCGTCTAGTACAAAGGTTCAGAATGATGGAGATATACCTACATTTGTCCATACGCCTCTACGGTGTGATGTTTAATGAAGCATTATTACCTTGTCTTTATCGGTTACAGGCAGACGGACACAGAGGAGCGAACTGGCGTATACCTGAAACTTTTCGTTCCGAACGCACCAAAGAATGCTAATTATTTATCTTAAAGCTGGACATAACCCCTAAAGTATCACTCCAATTGCCGCGCATTGAAGCACGCCTGAACACGAAGGCATGCTCCGTGGCCTCTCGTAGCGCCGCGCTGGACAGGCAACTTCTCCGGCACGACAACGAAACAGGTTGCCTACACACAAGACTTCTGGAGGTAGGGCAGAAAGAGAGTTCTGTAGTATAACATCGTGGTCTACCGGGTTTAGATATACGAGTAGTGTACTCAGGTAGGTTGGTACAAACATTTCGGAGGAACATGCTGCACCCTTCTTCAGGGTAGAAGTGTGTATCTGCACCAGCAGGAAAGTAATTTGATGGTCTCCCAAAAAGCGGAGCCACGCTTGATCTCTTGTTTCAACAGAACTCACTCATTGTCACAGCCGTTTTCAGTGTATTTACACGTACAATGCGTACAATGGGGTCGTCTCTCTGACAAGCACAAAATAAATGAAACTGCACTCCCAGAGCGGAGCGCCCCCTGCACAGCCCGTCAGTATATACGTTACATACACTCGTACTTCACCGCTACGCTTTTACATCGAGCAGGTTAGCGCAGTGCTACCTCTCCTGACTCCTATCCGGGAGGCCGTCGGTCCGACTCTAGCCCGGGACACGTGTTAACCTAAGATTTTCGTGGTTTTCCTCACTCCTTGGTATACACCGTTCAGACGTTCTAACCCTATTCACTTGAACCCTGAAGATGGAAGTAGCACTACTACGAAACGTAGATATCCATCGAAAGGTCATAACTTTAATCCAACTCTGAAGATGGAGGTAACATATTCCTCCGAAATGACGGTATTCATCGATAATTCATTCTCACCCCCGCTTTCAACCCTCGAAGATGGATGCAGAATACCCCTTCGAAATGTTGGTATGCACTGACATAGCATCCTCACCTTATTCTCTTAAACCCTGAGGATGGAGGTAGCTTGTTCTTCTGTAATACTGGTACAGTATCTACGGAAAATGCATCCTCGCCCTATTCTCTTAAACCCTGAAGACTAAGTCATATTATTCCATCGAAACTTTGGTGTCACCCTACACGGTGATACAACCCGGAAAATCACGACGACAAAACACAGCAGTAATACTCAGATCTTTTCTACAGAGAAACATTCACGTCTTCTGCGTTATAACACGGCGTAGTTTGGCGCTTTGGGTACCAACATTTCCAGGAAACGAACTGGGTCCACTCAGCCTCGTGATAACTGAGGAGCTGTTGCAAGGAAATAGCGGCTCCGGTCTAGAGAACCGACATTAACGGCCATGGGGATCCGTTGCGCAGACCAGGCGACACCCTCTATCCACAAAAGTCAGCACTAAATTCTCCGACAAGCGGCGGTCCCTCGGTCGGTTTGCATAGTTCGCTTGAGGACTACAGGCCACGGAGTTCGTTTGTTGGCACCAAATTCATTGCTAGAAGCTGCGTCACCACAGCCATTAACAGCATCAACGTTCGCCGGTAAGTGACTGGAAGGATATGAAGAAATGACCACGGCCTACTGCGATGTGCTATCCCAGTACATGCCTGGAGTAACTGACGAAAACACGGAAATTGTCAGTTTTCCGATCAGGATTCAAACCAAGCAACTACCGAATAAGAAACGGGGAAGTTACATCGTGTAATCTGGTAGTTTACCTCTACTTGCTTCATGTTGCTGCTTCCTGGGAGGCATATGTAAACCAGTACATTCCTCCGAAACGCTAGTAAACTTCTACCAGACTACACGGCATCATATCCCAGAATGCAGTACTCTTCACAGTCACCGCTGTGAGAACCTAAAACCTAAGCGCTTGTCATGTGACTATATACGTATGATGCATACTGAGTGGATGTGGAGACAGGCGAAGTTGGGGGCGATAAGATACAGGGCGTTCAATCAAGGAGGAAACTTCGCAACACCGCTGACCGGGCCCAGTATTCCTCACAGATTGCTACTGTAACTGTACTTGTGACGGCGCTCGTTTATCAGCGCTAATGACTCATTCTGCTATCAGCAGTTACAGCAGCAATCTGTGAGGAATGTTGGGCCGGGTCAGCGGTGTTGCGAACTTTCCTGCTTAACTGAACGCACTGTACTAGCGTCCTGTTGGCGGCCAATCGTGGAAGTTTCTGTAGGAGAGGCCCACAAAAAGCCCCCGTTTCGTAAAGTAGAATTGGCAGTAGTGTATGTCCACAGAAACAGCGAGGTTCAGGCAGTTAGTTGCAGGCTCGGGTTCATTCCCAAGTCAGGTCACGTGGAACTTGTGGACAAAGCGGAACTCCGAGTATTTCGGTCTCCCCTGCTAGTTCTCATTCCAACAATTGCAACAGTTTCATTAATCACCCTACCATCCCACGCCAAACAGTCTTGCTACTGACAGTATCGTCAAATAACGAACTCAGAAAAAACGCGAGCCGCCAGCTCATTGTGAACTAGGTCTTTACCAATTGCTTCCTACGTATTTATTTTATTTCACAGGAATCGTGAACTGAAAACAGTTGCCTGACCTGCTGGTTGGTTTGTCGGTCCCTGTTGCTGCCGCCTCCACTACCGCTGCCGCCTCCAGCACCCACAGTCGACCAGTCTACCCCTGGGGCGGTAGTTGTAGGCATCCCGCAGCGGCTAGGGCATTGCGGGCAGCTGCTGTTCGCGGAGGAATATTCGCCCGATCCCTGGATGCAAAGAAAAATGATGGTTAGCATCCCACTCCTCTGTTTCTCCAATCCGATACACTGCTGGCAAACCCATGTCCCAACCTCATTAACCATGAGGATGACAACTGAAATGTGTCGAAACGTTGTAAAACAATGAATATTCGACGCAAACCTAAGGACCACCATCCACTAGAGATTATCAGAAGAGAACAGGTTTGAACCGGACTACACTAGAGTCATTCCAATTTAGACAGGGCACAATATCGGGCGTTTCTGAATACGGGAATGGACATACAGGATCACAAAACGCGGGCCCGATAATTCCTCAGGCTTAAACCAATCTGAGCCATAGAACTTATTATTCCTCAGAGCATGACAGACCTCTATCATGACTGACGGCGTGTGTCCCCACGGAGATTCAAACCGACAACTTCCTTGTTACAAATCTACACCAACCTGTCTGATGGTCCCACCGGAACTTTCAGCATCGAGACTACATATCGCAGGATGGTAGCATGATTGATGAACTGGAGACGATTTGGAAGGAAGTGGCTGTGGCCTATTCGAGATACTAACCCGACATTTGCCTGCAGGGACTGAGGAAACCAACGAAAATTCAGTATACCCGGTGGCCCTGACGAGATGCGAGCCGAGCACCTTTGGATCTAGTCTAGAGTCTAGTCTAGAGGGTCACTGCTACACCAAACTGTTCGGTGTTACGAAGTCAGTAAAGTTAATGGGCGGTATGCAACTTGGCTACTTATGCTGATGCTTAATTCCTTCCAATTAATACTGTCACGTGTAGGGGTGACTAAGACGCGGATATGAATTGGTGAATGGGTACACTGGCTCTTCACTAGGCGTAACTACAATCGGTTCTTACACTCTCAAGATCACTGTAACTGGAGCTCATAAAGTCATCAGTGTTTGTTAACACTTCACGGCTGAATCCTCACAACTCCTTTCAGTAACGGCTTCTCTGCTATGATTGACTGCAAACGACCTTCGGTATCCCCTACAAACCTTCGGCACGGACCTATTATTGCAGACGTGTTTCCACTTCTGTTGCTTAGCACTGGATATGGCGCGGGTCACACTGAAAACAGTTGTCACCAGAATAGTTGCGTAACCTAACAACGGACCGTTTACCAAGAATCTGCCTCCGCGGGAACATGTTTACCAACCCGTTGCCTAGCACTGGCTGTACATACAACAATATTTTCTTCGGTTTAGTCTTCAAGTCAACTACTCCCCAAATAATCCATTAACCTGGGCTTCACTGTAGAAAATGAGAAGGTGCAAAAAGATGAAGTCCCTGAAGGCGTATGGGAGAGTGGGCGTATAGATCCACAGTTTCTTGACATCTGTATTAGCTGGAGAAATTGAGATGTATCAATGACGTAGGGGAATGGCTGGCTATTCCCATAAGGTAAACCGTTAAAGCTGTCCCTGTGCTTAACTAATTAAACGCAGCGCCATAAAGGCAATGGAAGAGTGGATGTATAGCTCCACTATTACTGACCTCGGCACTAGATGTAGATGAATGACCAGCTTCATGCCCCGACCGTTTTACCCCCGAGGATAAAGCCCCCGACAGCTACTGGATAGGAGGCTAGGGACCCAGAGGCGGTCTGGACACTGGAGGAGAGAAAAATCTCCTGCCCCTACCGAGAACAGAATCCCGGCCGTACAGCTTGTTGCCCGCCGCTTTATCGACTGAGCTAGCCCGGCTCCCGATCGTTATTCCAAAATTAATTTCAAATTAGTCTATGTAAAAGGTAAAGTTATCCCTGTAACAGGCCGCGGAGGCCCATTGGGTTGTGAGACGTAGAGGCTCCCACATTTTCTAAACAATCGGCTCACAGATGGCGGTGAGGGTGTCAGCCTTAAGCGCCGGCCGCCCTTTAACCCACAGAAAGATTCCTGGTATTCATTTCTGTTAGAGGCTGAGTCGACCTGAGGGCCACAGTGCGACTGGAAGGATTAAGTAACTTAAAAAATTCAATGGTCTCACCGGGAATCAAACCCGCGACCTTCCGGCTTGTAGCACAGTGCCTCAACCAACTACGTTACCGCGTGCCACGTACATAAAATTCAAACCTGAGAATACGAAACACATACAAAGAAAATGCATGTTAATGCTGACTGGTTACGTCATTAGTAACCTCCTTTTTGCAGAGACAGGAAGTGCAGCTGCATGGAATGTTATGACAGCTGAGCAGTCAGACTGTGTGCCGATCGCCCCTACAGGGGTGCGTAGTCGCCGCAGATTTTATAAACACTGGTCCAACTACTGACTGCGGGCTGAACTAACTTCATGGAGCTGAGCATTTCTTCTTGAGAAGCCACCAGTCATGCAGCTACTCAAGAATATCCCTAAACTTAATGAACCCGAAGGTTCACTAACGTTTTCACAAGAGGTCCTCACTGGTCCCTATCCTGAACCAAATCAATCCAGTCCACACCATCCAATTCTATCTCTCTAATATCAATTTTAATATTATCCACCCACCTACGTCTTGGTCTTCCTAGTGGTCTCTTTCCTTCTGACTTTCCCACCATTATCCTATATGCATTCTTCTTACCTATAAAAGTCAACAGCTGTTGCCTAATAAACCGCCATCAACTGAACAAATCTCAACGGAGGAAATGTGACTGCCCATTTTCATACAAAATTCAGAACAAGATGACGCAACGTACCCTGGTTCCGAGAAAGCGTGCCTCTAGCAGTTCCTGTTTCCTGGGGTCCAGGGCCGGCTGGAAGTGCTCCATCTTCACGCCAGCACCTCCTGCGAACAAAAATCACACAATGTAGCTTTAGCCAATCAGCTGATCGCCACGGCATCACGCATCTTCGTGCTGAGGATCGAACAAATAGCCTCCAGACACGGGGACGCAGCTGTAGTCGCAGATGGGTCTCAGATTTTGGCATGAGATTTGGCACGTGGAATGTAAAGAGTCTCTATAAACCAGGTTCACTGACAACAGTTGCAAGAAAAACAGCAGAGTAGAAGTTTGATTTAGTGGGAGTACAAGGCAGCTTACACTGAACCTGCAGCGAAGTGCGCAGAGAGTTCTGGTGCGAAATCCAGTAGGGATGCATGGGCGTAGAAGGGACAATAATATTAAAATGATTATAACAACTGGATGGCAAGGTATGGACTGAATTCATCTCGCTCAAGATAGAAACCAGTTGTGGGCTCTTGTGAACAAGGTAATGAACTGCATAAACAGACCACTTCCTGAGAAGCTAACAGTTCCCAAGCCATTCAATAAATTCCCGGCATTCTGTGAAACCAAATATTCATTGCCGCATTCACAAGAGTCTGTCTACTGGTCAGTATCGCATGCGAGAAGACTTCAGTCCTCAACCACCGATTCAATTTCTTCAAGTTACACTTTAATATTAACCTCTCATGCACGCTCAGGCCCACGAAGTGGCAATTTCCCTCAGGTTTCCCCACCAAAATATTATTTATAAGCATTCAGTATCCCTTCGGTTGCCGCATGCCCCATCCATTTAACCTTCACAGGTTTCATCATCCTAATAATGTCTGCAGATAAAAAGAAGGTACAGGTATCCGTGTCACAGGCCATGAAGGCCCATAGGATTGTGAGACGTCGACGCTCCCACATTTTCTTGATAATCGGCTCACAGATGGAGGTCAGGTTGTCAGCCTTACGCGCCGGCCACACTTTACCCCCAGGAAGATTCCTAGTATTCATTTCTGTTAGAGTCTGAGTCTGGAAGGATTAGGTCAGCTGAAAAATCCAATGACATCATCGGGAATGAAACCCGAGACCTTTCAGCTTGTATCAGTGCCTCAACCAAGTACGCTTCTGGGTGCCCACCAATTATGTCTGGAGATGAGTACAAATTATGAAGCTCTCCATTATGAAATTTTCCCCTCCTTCCTTGAAATACTGTGTGAGTTTGTCTGCTTGGTGGGAGGAGCTCACAGCCTGCACTTCTGAAGAAAAAATAAAATAAGCATTTCAAAGCAAATACATCACATATTAACATAAAAATTAGAAGCGTTTTTACAAAAAACATTCTCAAGTCCTGAATCCTGCAAGGAGTCCGATAATATCAGTCTTACAAGGCTTAAACGTTAAGTTTCTAAGCAAATTTTCTGACTGCCCTTCTTTAGAATATCAATTCGCCTCCAGCTTGAAACCGATGCTGACGGGGTCCATGCATCACAACGCTTCCAGTCGACATGAAAGTGACTGCCTAAGGGCTGCAATTCCAAGCACCTAATTTCGAATTATCATTTTTCTGTCTGGCTTACCACGACACCCCAAGAACGAGCCACTGTGGAGACAATTATGAACTTTTCGGATTCCGCAAGAACAGGAAACTCAAACAGCCTATCAAGAGCTGCTATCTCAGTGACGTGTGCAATACATTAATGGAGGTGTCAGCCTTGTAACCTATTAGGCAATAAACATACCCACAAGCTGCACGTTTTGCAACACTGTACATTAAGAAGACAGATTAAACGTAGCATTATGACAGTGTATTCCAAAAACTTCAAAACAACAGAACTTGGAAAGTGTGTTCCAACCTGGAATATCCATTTTCCGAACACGAAGAACTTTATCCAATTCCGTGACACACCGTCTTTTGCCGTACGACAATCTGAATTCGTAACAAACTTAAGCACGTGCTCATTTAATAAGGGAGTGATCGCGAACGAGTGATACATCAATGCAACATGATGCTGAAATACGTATAATATTCGTTCTCAGAGTTCTCCATTGTGGGGCCATCTACAGGGCACTGTTGAAGTAACAGTGGAAAACTCGCTTACGGTCTTCGGGATTACAGAGTCTGTATTAGGTCCATTCATTTATTCATCAATGGCTGTAAAGCACTTCGTTGGGCCCCGGCCTCTCCTCCAGTAGAACTCACAGGACGAGTGATCAGCCCGTCGCAAGGCCGCTATCTACACAGAGGGCAACACAGACACAGAACAAGGCAGCGTCTACACGAGCGCACAAAATGCGTCCGTTGCAACGAACGTACTTTGCTGAGGACACCGCACAGTTGCAGAATGCGGTCTTTAGTTTCATTGCAGACAAAAACTACGCACCGCATTCTGCAACTGTGCGGTATCCTCAGCAAAGTACGTTGGTTGCAACGGACGCATTTTGTGAGCTCGTGTAGACGCTGCCTAAATGCACATACAGACATCCAAGCCTTTAAGTTGGATTCGAACCCACGATTGCACGTTCGAGAGAGCGAAAGCAGTTCATGACTTTGACCGCGCGGCCATTGTGATGGGTACCTGTCTTTGGCCCACCGTCTAACGTTACGAAGGAACAAAGCATTTCAGAAATTGGATGTTTGTGTCTGCAGTTCAAAGGGAGGCACTCAGTTGATTCAGACATTGAGATCACCTCTTCCTATTGGGCACGACGGAGTAGGCGCATCCCACTCTCGCACGCGGACGGAAACAGATCCGATTTCCGGAACGCTGTGTTGCTTCAAAATACGAGCCCGCGAACTCTGCAATCCCAGAGTAATTAGCCTCAGTCATAGCTCTTCAGAACAAAATGAATTCGGTGTCGTGCCACGTATCTGGGTGATGTTTGTGGCGGAAGTAACTGGCCATATCGTCAAATAAACTACGAGTATAAATAAGTAAATAAATAAATCAGGCCGTCGAACCCCACAGTGCAGTGAGACGTCGAGGCTCCCACATTTTCCAGACAGTCGGCTCACACATGGCGGTGAGATTGTCAGCCTTACGCGCCGGCCGCCCTTTACCCCCCATGAAGATTCCTGGTACTCATTTCTGTTATAGGCTTAGTCGACCACAGAGCCATAGAGCGGCTGGAAGGATTTAAGTACATTAAAAAACACCTCATCGGGACTTCAACCAGCGACCTTCCTACTTATAACGCAGTGCCTCAACCAACTATGCTACCGCGTGATAAATACATAAATGAATAAATAAAGACGCCCCAGGCGAGAGTAATATTCAACTACCAACAAAACGTCCTGACTTTATGGAGATAAAGAATGAAAATATATTCACAGAATTGGCTCAAACAAAGTTATACACTGAAAGGCGTGAGAACTGAAACTGAAACACAGGGAGGCTGCAGGGAGAGGATGATCCACAGATATGGAGTACAGGAACGGAGAACCCCAAAGAAGAGGAACAGGTAGCGCTGCGGTGCGGAGAGGCTGCAAGCACGTGCTGAAGTGGGCAATGCAACCGATTCTTAGTACAGAGCAAGAACACGGGCGCCGCAAGGGGACTGAAACAGGAAGCAAGGAATTTGAAGGAAGTAGACTGAAATGAGAAGAAAGGAATTTTAGGGAAAGATTCCCGGGTATAATGGAAGACGAACATGCTGAAACGAATTTTAAAGAAAGAAGATGAAGGAAGGAATGCGAAAGGGACTTTAGTGCTAAGAAATGTTCGACGGAAAGATCTGATTTCTAGCATTTTATGGAACCCGAAGGTTCCTTACTGTGTTCACAAGAGCCCTCCACTGGTCACTATCCTCAGCCACATCAATCTAATCCATACCATCCCGTCCTATCTCTCTAAGATCCATTTTAATATTGTCCACCCACCTACGTCTCGGTCTTCCCAGTGGTCTCCTTAATTCAGGCTTTCCCACCAATATCCTATATGCATTCGTCCTCTCCCCCATTCGTACTACATGCCCTGCCCACCTCAACCTCCTTGACTTGATCATTCTAATTATACTTGGAGAAGAGTACAAGTTATGACGCTCCTCATTACGAAAGATCTGACAGAAAGGAATTTATAGGAAAGACACTCCACTATAGTGGAAGGTGCTTTCACATGTACGAATGAGTATGAACGGGTTTTGGTTTGGAGATCGGATTTATTGACCACTTACAGATCACAACTACATGTAACTATAGCGCTATCGCTAATTTACACACTGAGCAGTACACTACAGCATGCACTAGGACTTCTCAGTCTGTTGTGTCTTCACCAACCGCTGTCTGGTAACGGTTTCCAACGCCGTGCTTCTTCATCTTCCGTGTTCATGTCCTTACTGGCCGACGACTGTTACGTAATTAAACTCCACATTTGTCATACTTCTAACACATGGGCATGAAGCGCACAGAGAAAGCCCCTTCCCATTTAGTCCACTCGTGAAATCTGTTGCTTAGCAACGGGCGTTGTTTACGAAGTCATTACTTAGCAACGGGTTTACATGGTACAGTTATTGTCAGGAAACGGGCTGGAATGTAAAGATAGAACTTGAAGGGAAGATTAGAAGTGAAATAAATGGGATTTAGGGAAGGGGGCTGGAATGGGAAGCAATAATACGGAGGAAAGGGAATAGAAAGGGATTTGAGCGAAATATGCTAGAAAATATTAAAAGGAATTTAAATGAGAGGGGTGAACAAGACAGCATGGAAAATACCCAAACAGGAATATGACACAGAAGATTAAAAGTAGTCTGCAAATGTAGAATCCAGAGAAAAAAATGCTGCGTCAATACCAATATTTAGAGAGAACGAGAGAACATAAAGCACCGAGAGGACCTCATTTTTTCAGACAACTGGGAGAAATGGGTTAAAAGGGCCGATCTAACACAGCGCATACGAGTTTATACAGGAATGCAAAGGGAAGGACCGCCAGTTGTGGAGTACAAGACCACATGATACAGGAAATGGTTAAACCCCACGGCGAAGACCCAGTGTCTTAATCATTTAGATGACAGTGGTTAGAATATTCACCACTCGCTTAACATTAAAGTAGTTTTGAGTTGTACTCACACAGTACATGGG